GTCTTGGCAAGCCAACACACATTTATTTGCCATGGTTACTACTCAACTGTATAAGCACATTTGGTGTTGGCAAAAAGCCTTTCCTGAGCCACGTTGAAAGGTGTAGTACACAGAGAGCCGAAGAAATGGTAGTATCATTCTGTTGAGTGTGAGGGGAGGGGGAAATTATTGCAGGACTTAGACAAGTCCCCTGATTTTGGTATATTTAACCGACCCTGGCCCTCAGGAAATCTGGCACTATATACCGTTTTATCACAACTGCCTCGGGCTTACAGGAAGGCTTTAGTCTAGTTCTCATGGATGTTCCTGTCTTTACTAAACAAAACTATGCCTAGGCTGGGATTACTTTCAGTTGTCAGCCTGAAAAGCCATTTTCTATACAAAACAGCAAACTGCCACTTTTTTTTCCAGCATTGTGTGACACGGCCACTCGGTAAAACTGCAGAGTCAGTGAGTTACTGAGTGGCAGGAGGGACTGGACTTTCCTCCCTCAGTAAGTAGATTTCGTGCCCATGAAGACCTAGAGAGCAGAGATCTCCCCAAATCTCTCCCCTCCTACAGGTGGAGGAATCTGTACCTCGTGTTTTAGCGCTAAGACATCGTTGGTATCTGTCTCAGTTAGAGAAAGAATCAGGGTAACAGGATAATTCGTGGGTTTGCATTCATGAAGGGTGGCTTTTTTTTTCTGTGTGTCATAAGCAATTGGAAACTCTTCTATGGAGACTGGAAAATTTCCTTGGAGTTCACACTGAGTGGTTAAAAACAGAAGCCCGGCATTATTGTGCATTATACAACTCGCCCACGCCATGCCTTGCAAGGCCCTTAAAATTGTTAGAGCTCCACCAACCTGCACCCCCCTCCAGGAACTCTCTTATTTAAGCCCAAATGCTGCCCCAGAGTGGAGGCTGGGGATGCAGAAGAGGGGTCCATGTAACCATGCTGTCACCACTGCTTCAAACAGCCAGGCCAAGGCTAAGGTGGGAGAAAGGGGTAAGGGGATCAATGGAGTCTTTTTCACTCATGGCAAATCCACATCTGTGTCGATGTTGTCAGTGCAATGCAGTGTTAGCATTTTCAAACTGCTGCCCTTCTGGTCAAGCAGTTGTGTATTAACCAAGTTAACAGTTCTGCCAGGAAATAACAAGGATACCATGCATTTCAGCAGTGCTTTTCATCAGATCATTCCTACTTACTTTACAAACAGAATTAAGGAAGCCTCACAACAGCCCTGTGAGGTAGGTGGAAATTCTTACACCCATTTTACAGGTGGAGAAAACAGGCACTGAGAGGTAAAGTGATTATCACAGCAAGTCAGAAGCAGAGCTGGAAATAAATCTAAGATTATTATCCTAGGTCCACTGCTCTAGACACTAGAGAACACCAATTCCCACATGCTATTGTAAGCTAAGACACTATCTTTCTCTTCTACTTTCACCTCCTTTGGCAATTTTGACACTTGCATCTTATGCTCCTTGCAGAGACCCAGTTAGTAATTTATTTGCACAGGGAGCCGAGGGGGTTTACACACCTTTAAATGATCCAGGCACGGCTATAACTGTCCAGTGACTGCCCCCTTCCCAAGAAGATAATTTTCCCTGTTTTTTACATTTATATCTGTTTGGCTTAATTATTTTTCAAGTAGAATCACACACTGAATCCACAGCACTGAGGCTGTTATGCAACTTCACTAGGAATTTCTTGAAAAAATCATTAAATTTGCCTCATTTAGAGGGAATAAAATACATTTATACGCTATCACATCCAGAAATAGCAATAATCCATTGCTCATCTGTAGGGCCTTCCACCCAAGGACCTCCCGTTCTATTACTAACACAATATAGCGAGCCTCACGTCGTCTTTGTGAGGTAGAAAATGATTCCCAATTGTGCAAGAAGGAAGAATGACTTGCTGACAGTCCCACAGTGATTTCATTGCAGAGATGAGGCTGAATGCCAGACAACCAGACGGTTAGCTCCCTGCCCGCTTCGCCGAGAAGAGCTGTCTTGATGCCGTGGCTCGTATTTGGTGGCTACAGATTTGCTAACAGTCTGGCAGGGTACTGGCTTCAAAATTGAAATCAACAAGCGGTTGAGTGGATGCAGGAGGAAAGCGCTGGCTTGTTTCAGCGTGCTGTCGTGACCCGGAGGAAGAGGCGAGCTTTCCTGTGGCAGCTGTGAAAGAACTGCAGAGTGTCCATTGAGTACCTTGCATACAGTGCATTTTACCAAGGCACTCCATTGAAAAAGCATCACAGAACATCTGGTCATTAAAGACTGGACCGCCTGACATCCATATTGTGAACCATATACCTCTGATGAATAAGCACCCATCTTAATTAGTCCAGTCATCTAATGAAGGCATGAATGTCAGAGGTCAGGAACGGGGATGGCTATTAAAATACTTTCTCTGTAAAAGGACTTGTCAAGTAATTAGAAGTAAACAAGGGTGGGGGTGATTCATCTAGTCCATTGGTATCTGGAAGGGTCAGATACTCTCAAGAGGTAGAAGATACCTCATGCTGAACTGTTGCAGATAGTTTTCTTTTTTACCTACAGGAAGTGTATTTCCAACCCACTTCAACAAGTGGGCTGACTTATGCTTAGAACCTTTAAAATTCTCTTACGCCTTTCTGTGAAGAAAATGAAAATTAATAGATCCTATCTCATATAAGTACGTGTGGTGATTTTGCTGTTCATCTAAATCTTTGCCTTTACTTGAATTCTAGTAGAGTATTGGGCACGGTGGACCCTTTTCCTGCTTAAAAACGTTCTCTTTCCTTAGTTGCCTTTCATTTGTGTTAACTGTTCTCCTGTTTCTGTATTAAGAGAGTGAATAAATGGTAGCCTCTTGATTCTCTGCATGTTCCTTTGCATGTGTTGCTTTGTCATATTCCTTCCCAAAACTGAGGAGGTGCCTTCCAGTCTTCCTTCCCAAGGAAGGAAAACCTGACAGCCTTTGTCCAGGGAGCAAAGCTTTTGACCTAAGGCTGCAAACCTTGGGAAAATACACAGGCCCAAGAGGAGCAAAAGGATTAACAGTATATATAAAAAAAATTAATATGTGGCACCGCTATGGTGCTGAAGAATCCCAGTGCACCCCACAAACTTTCTACATAAGTACAGCTTACTTCGCTCAGCACTAGAAGCCCAGCCACCTTTGGGCTCGTATAGGGCAGCTGCATAACAAGGCAGGGCATCTCCACCGAAGAGGGGAGTGACAGAGCTGAATGTACCGGTGGCTGCCGGGGCTGGGATGTGGGGCAGCAGGACTGGAGGCTGAGCCCAAGCCTGCCCAAAGCTCTCTCAGACACCCATTTGATTTCAATGTGCTCGGAGTCAGCTCTGCTACAATGGGAGGCTGCAGGGGGTCTTTTTTAGCTAATGGCGGGATGAGTTTTACACATTATGCCAAAGACCTTTTTTTTCCTGACCTGGATTAGAGCCTGCCCTGGGAACAATGAGATGGGCCGCAGCCCAGCAGCAAGAATTTGCTGAGCTGGCAGGGTCTGAGGTTTGCAGAGCAGGGCAGATGAGAGTGCATACCTGCACTTTTCTGGCACGAGGCTTGGTTTTGGGGGGACAGAGCTGTTAACCTGAAACTTTTGAACACATTGCTGCACTGTCCCAGCCAAAAGGTGCTGCTGTAGTCCTAAAATTAGAAATCCACAGACATTTAAACATGTGTAAGCGCATGCTTTTCTGCCTTTTGTAACAAAAAAAAATATTTTGCTGAGGATCTGAGAGTTCTGTACGGACCTGTTGGCACAAAAGGTCTAAATCATCTTTTGAAAGGCCTTGTTTTACTCAAGGCTTTGGCATTTAATAGAGAAGTAGACCACTGGATGGCTCCTGTCTGTCAAATTAAAAACAAAGGATGTCAGAAGATTATTATCATATCAGGCTTTTCAAACTTGAACAACCAGTTTTGTATTTAGAAGTTTAAATAGTCCCATAGTTACCCAGATGCCTGGTTTAGGTTCACAGGTGTCTGCAGGACTCTGTACCTGAGATTTGCCGAGTGCCTGTAAGTCTGGGAGCTCCAGGAACTGAGCACATGTCAGGATCATGCCGGGGAGGTTTATATTTGGTTTCGTGCTCTGGGGGCTGTAGCCATTTCCTCCTTTCACAAAAGCCTTCCCACGCTTGCTTTGCTAAATTCAGTTTCAGATCTTTAAGTCACAAGACTATAAGTAAAAAATATCACTTGAATTTATTCTTTCCAGTGCTCTGAAATAGGTTTGGGGCTGGATGACCCTCTTGGGAACAAATAATCTATCTGTGGGCATCTGCTAAATCCTAGTAGAGAGCTACTGCTAATCTTGCCCCCTGTCAATGTCATTTGAAGAACAGAAATATTTTTGACAAAGGGAAAATATTTTTACCTAACCCAGATTTGCATTCACAGAGAAACTGGGGACATTTTGGGCTTTATTTGCTGAATTAAGAGATGAAATAATGTTTGCTATTTTAGTGTGTTGATGCTGAGCACAGAATTCACTTTGTGAATTAAATAACTGCAATTCCATGCCAGCAGCAAAGGGGAGATTTCTTCAGTGTGCCATAGGTGGAAGCAGAAAAAGAAATACTAGATGCAGTTGTCGACCAGTCTCCCCCCTCACTGGCTGAAGAGGCAAATCCTCCCCACATTCCTGGAGAAATGTGGAACACAAAGCTTCCAGTAAATACGTCCACAGCGGTGACATTTGGGTTTCACTGCCATGTTAGGTTTTAAAAGACATCCGTTATGTGTACAGTGTAGATATTACTGTAAGGAGTAAGCTAGCATGTGGAAACAGGGAAAATGTTCCTTTTCAAATGGACATACAGGGCAAATAAGGCACAGTTACCATGATAGTACCTTTCCAGTTGAGAATCTCAAGAGGAAATAATATTCAAATGGCCATTTTAGCACTTTCCTTAAAAATATCTTTCAATTCTTTCTCTATCTCTCCTTTTCTCTTCAACCTTTTCCTTTTCATGTGCTTCCTGTATCCTGCACTTTCATACAGTCAAATCGTCTGACCTGGCCCGGCTGCTGGCTTTACTTAGCCTGCTGAGGGGTCGCATATCAGTGGCGAGTGCAGCAATATCAGTGGCGAGTTCAGCAGGTGCTGAAGGCCCTTCCACTTCATCTCTTACCACCTCCTCCTCTGCTTTCTTCTCCCCTGGCTCTTCCTGAGGTCTCAGGTGCTCCTCTTCTTGTTCCTCCTCTTCTGCTCTTACCTTCTCCTCTTCCGGTTCCTTCGCTTGTGCATATGATGGTAACCTCTCATCAAATGCCCTGGAGAGATCTTCCAATGGTCCCATGCCAATCTTCTCCTCAAACTCATTGAAGGCTGATGGAAGGGGGCTGGGCTCAACCCCCACTTCAGTGAGAGGGAAATAAGGGGACACTGGCTTCTCTTCTTCCAGCAGCTTGTAGCCTTTGGCCTTCGGGATGGAGGGGACTGTGATGGCAGGGAGGGGCTTCTCCAGGACCTCTCCTAGCTGTTCTTCTGCTGGTCTTTTCAGAGCCCTCCGGATCCTTTTCAGGATCAAGTGACTGATCTCCACCAGGTTGAGAAAGAGGGACACGGAAGCCACCACCAGCATGAACATAATAAAGATGGTCTTCTCCGTGGGCCTGGAAACAAAACAGTCCACAAGATTGGGACAGGGCCACCGCCCACAGCGGTAAAGGGGGAGAATTCGGAAGCCATACAGGAAGTACTGGCCTACTATGAATCCCACCTCAAAGAGGGTTTTGAAAATGATGTGGAAGACGTAGGTTCTCAGGAGGGTACCCTCCAGGCGAAACTTCTTGGTCCCATCAGGGTTATTGCCTTTGTTTTGATTCGGAGCCAGGGGCAGCTTCTCTTCATCCACCTCAGCTTGCTGACGCCTCTCGGCTTCCTCTCTCTCTCTCCTCTTCTCCTCCATGCGGACATGGTGCACCGCATGTCCAAAGTACATTAGCGAAGGCGTGGATACAAAAATGATCTGCAGGACCCAGAGCCGGATGTGGGAGATGGGGAAGGCCTCATCATAGCAGACATTCTCGCAACCAGGTTGCTGGGTGTTGCACACAAAGTCTGACTGTTCGTCTCCCCACACCAGCTCGGCAGCTGTTCCCAGGATCAGGATGCGGAAAATGAAGAGCACTGTGAGCCAAACTCTCCCGATGACAGTGGATTGCTCGTTCACCTGCTCTAAAATGTTCCCCAAGAAACTCCAGTCACCCATTTCTTACTGTCTAAGGGAAGAAAAAAGAAAGAGAATGACCACAAATTACGCTAAATTTAAAAGATTTCAGGTTTTCCCACTGATGTCTTTTGTTGCTTTCAACCAGTATTTCCCTAATATGCTTTCAGAACAGAAAGAAGGTTGCTTGCTTGCTTATTTGCCTGATCACAATGATTTATTAGCAGGAGAAGGGCCGTGAAGCCAAAGCAAACTGCTCGCTAAATTCTTTCTTCCCTGGCTCTAAATGGGCAATTACTTTTTAGCTGGGGAGTATATTTAACTCCTTTTCCAGGTAAATGTCTTTTGTGGTGCCTTGTAGGCTCAGTTGCATGAACCTGCTTAGATTTTTGTACACGTACAAACACTCGCCAGCAGCACAGTAGAACAGATTTATCAGCATGCAGCTGCAGTGGTTAGAAATGAGAGTGAAGCTTTCAAGCACCCAAGCTCTTCTGCACCAGAAATGAACACAGGTCAAACAGATCTCAAATGGGTCCCCATCTTGCACCTATGCAAGCCTGAATTCTCTCTAGATTGTAGATATTAATTCTACATTACAAATCACTCTGTTAGGTAAGAATAGCTGTTACAACAACACTGTTATGTTAGTAATACTGTATAAGCTTAGTAACTACAATAAATACTAGTTTTGCTATAGAGTATCCATTATAGACAATTATGTGGTGTTATCTGGGCTGTTCTTTGTATTCTCTTCTGAAGTCAGTTGCCAGACTGACATTGGAACCAACCTGGAGAAAAACACAAAGGTCTATAACTAGGACTTAAAATGCTATTTTGTCTCTCTAAAATGTCAGTGCTGCTATCTCAGGCTAACACAGAGCTGGAAGTCAGCTGCAGATATCCGATTGGAAAGCTAAGAAAATAGTCCGTTTTCAAGTAACCCAAGTCAGACATTACATCCATCATTATTTTTGTATTATAAGAAATTATTCCTAGGCCAGGACTTCATCCTGCATATCCTAAACTTCCCACTATATCATTTTAGGCAAGGAAGATCTATGAATGAAGGAAATAAAGAGGAAACTTGTTTGGGATGGGCTGATTTAACACATCACAGCAGTCTGAAGTCTGAGGAACACAGTATAATTACAGTGATCCAGAAAGACCGACTTGTGAAGCGTGACAAGTGAAAGAGGGAACATTATTCAAAAAATAGCTGTTCACAGGGATCTAGAAGTTCATCTCTTAGATACTACCTCCATCTATAGTTTCCTAAGTGCAGACACACATACACAAGTGCTGAGAAAAAGAAGGTACAGTTAAGAGCATGAAATCTGAGTATCTAAACTTCCCTCCTCCTTCAGATACCACTGGGATATATTTGTAATGCCATATGTTGCAACACACCAACGCATACCAGTCTGTTTCAACTACTGTGTGTACATATTCACACATAGACAAACACACAAAATATTGAGAGATTTACAGCTCTGGGGAATTTCACAGATTTTCAAACAAAAAAGTGCTTCTGATGTTATTTTTCTAAAACAAGATGGACTCACTTTCCTTGCCTTCAAACCCTGTAAAATCTTAACCCCAGATACCCATGTTAGAAAACGAAGAGCAGACCGCAGTCCTTCAGCTTGCACAAACACCTTGCATGCGTAAGCGGCAAACATATAATTTAATCACCGAAGAAAATTGCTACTTTCTCAGTCATTAAAGTTGTGTAAAAGAGTATGTTAATGTCAGCACTTACATTAACAAGTCTAGCGGAAGATTATGCTGTTTACATACATTATCTAAACTGATTTAAACATTCTCTTTCTGCAGATTCCCAGAGCAAAGTACACCTGACAGTTACCAATCATGTGCAACTCTGTAAAAAACACCTCTACGCACAATAAAAACTTCACTGTCCCCCAGGCACCACAACTAACTCCATCCCTTTCTTTCTTTGTGAGTCACACTGATATCCACAGCTACCATTTGACTATTTCCACTGCAGCACACAAGAGCGACATTCTAGATGTGATAAACGTTATCATACGGAAAACTCATTGTACAAGAGAAGGAAAAACGTTTCCTGTCTAACTCCATCAAATGTCTCGCTTGTGGCTTGCTACATTTGGCTAAGCTCTTCCTGAGATCACTTCCGAACTAGTCACGCTTTTCAAAAACCTGCCATGACCATCCTCTCTATTTTCTGCAAGTGAAGTGGTTTGAGGTTGCTCAATCAGTTCAATGGCAAGGAACAATTTTGGGTGGACTGAACATGAGTGATACGACCACTTCAAATGTCTAGGATTCCACCTGTAGGCAGTCAGCCCCTCAAGCCCCCAGAAAAGGTGTAAGCAATGAATTTAGGCATTTCCTTTAAATTGCCCGTGATGAGGAAAAGAGCAGGAGACCACCTAAGCCCACTCAGAGTCAATAGATTTGTGTTCTTAACTCACATGGGCTTGTCACAGACCCCCACCCTGTACTTCCAGATGTTGCAGCCTGAGCACACTACCAGCAAAAAAGACCGTATCGGTTAAGGACGTTGAGCAAGCAACTTGCCACTGTGAAAGGCTCCACCGAAGAAATGTGTCCCCCTCCTCTCTTGGCACTCTGCAGGGAAGAGTGAACTTTTGTCTCTCTTCTTCCCTACTCTAAAAGTCCCAATCTTGTCGCACGACTGAGCAGATATGACTGAATTGGCTCTGATGGTGGGTTTTAGTTGCCCTGCAATATTTAAGCTCCAAGCCAGACGGCTTTATGAAGTGAGCAACAATTAGTGACGTGGGGAACAATAGGGAGAAAAAAATAGAGAAAGAGAGGCAGAGACACAGAGAGGAGGATCCACTGAACATGAAAAAGCAGAGGGGGGAGAGGAACAGGCGACAGGCAGTGAAAACCTAATACATGCATAAATGGGAGTTTGCACGGTTAAGCAGGGACCAAAGCATCTCTGCAATTCTGCTATGGTTCAGCACAGCTCTCTGTGTGTCCTCACTCGCTAGTCTTTAGGTGTTGTGGCGTGACAGGTGAAAAGGAAGTGCCAACATCTCTGATGGTGGCAGAACTAATTGAATTAATTTGTTACCATACACCCAGCTCTGACGGCCAAGTCGCATTGCTGATTTCTAGCACAGACAGCCACTGAGGTACCAGCTCTGTATTTGGCATTGTCAGATACTTTGGAGTGCTCTTCAACGTCTTTTACCTGGAAAGAGAAGCAGAATGGGAAAATGAGATCATCAGTCACTATTAATCAAAGCTGAGAAATACCAGGCTTTTACAATCTCACCTTTCAGTGTCTTAGTTCTGCTTAGTTTTTCCTTTAACTGCATCTCGCACATGCACATGCATCAAAAATGGCTAAAACAAACTGTTTTGTTAAGGAGCATAGCTGAATTGAAGCAGCCCAACAAACTGGAATGTTACCCCAGGCATACTCGCCTACCCCCAGCCATGTGCAAAAATGCTGGAAAGCTCGCAGGAGAGAAAAAATTCACAAGGTCAGTAATGCATTCATAAGAACAACTCACTGCCCTGTGAGTTTTGGTTATGAGCCAAGGGATATAACTTTATTCTCAGGTGTTATTTTTGTAGTTTCTCTGTATGAGTTGCTCAGAATGTGCTCTTGGTGATCAGCTCTGAAGAAAAGGAGGATTACTGGAAGTAAGATGTGACAAGCAGTGATACAGATACCAGGCTCATAAAGTGATGAAGCAGCAAGTAGTTCTCCTCTCTCTTTATGCAGACTCAACAATGAACTTAATTCCCCAGAATTTTGCTGGGAGATGCTCTGTCTCTAGAAGAGCTGTCAGTTAAATGAGATATTACAAGAGTCACAAAATTTTGTATCTTCAAACCAATGGTTTCAGGCCTCTCTTCAGTGTTTCTGGGCATTTGTGCCCATGCAAGTTCAGAGCCTTCTTTCAGCAGTTGTCTTCCCAAACAGCTTTTAAGCTGAGTTCCACAGCCCCAAAATCCAAAGCACAACAGGAGACAGAGATTATGTTTTTCCAACTGGATTTCAAAAGAGCTGAAGGATAAGTGGGAGATGGAAAAGAATAATATTTTCCAAGAGGGACCAGTTTGGAGACCCAAAAGAAAAATCAATCTCTATGGAAGCTGGTGGAATGAAGGTCACATTCTGAACACCTTAATAAATCACCTTCATAATAGAGTAGTAGAGGTCTAAATAGGACATTTTTCAGCCTGTGCTACATAAAGCACAGGAATTGTCTTCCTGGAGACAGGACACACAGAGGAGAAGACACAAGTACCAAGAACATGAAGTGAATAAGAAAAGGCACAGTTTGATCAACAAGAGGAATAAGGATGGAAAGGAAGAGTACGGGACACCTTTGTTGCTTTGTTTTGCCACATACTACTGAGATAAACTAGGCCTGATACGTGAGTGACCAGTCATCTCTGCCCTCCCCCCATCCTCTCTCTGGGAAGCAGTGAGAGAGGGAGGACTAAATGATCCCATCAGCAGCTAACACCTTTAAAAGAGTGCCTGCAAGCTGGTGCATCACAGAGGCCAGATGGTTCAGATGTTAAAGTGCTCATCCCTTGTCAGACTGAAACTGTCTTTTTGGAACTCAGCTCTGGCTGAATGTGCATATCCCTTTCTGGGCCTTATCTTTCTAATATAATGAGCCAAAACTCAAATCTGGTATGTAGCTACATGGCTGTAGTCCATCTCTAAATTACATCCAGCTACTGTCAGAGACATTTCCCATTAACCTTCTATCTGCCACTTGCAAACACTATCCAAATATCAAACACTGTCTGGCAAGTTGCAAAACAACTTGCAAGATGCAGCTGATGCAGATATTATATTCAAGTCACTGATCGCTGGGTATATGTTACTTTCATCTGAATGATCAGGATGACTTTCTTTGCTGTTGTTAGGGTGCAGAGCCTTTAACAGGGGACACATTGAGTTTGCTAGACATTTCTGGTTTGCGGAAAACCACACAGTCCCTTCAACTGGATGCCTTTTTAAAAGGCACCACTGAGCTCTGGACCAGATTCTCCAGTTTATGAGGGCCTCCTTCCCCTGAAGAAAATGGCCACAGAAAATGGCCTAAATGAAGATGGTCAGTGAGGAAATTCCTCTTGTACTGGGGCTACACAGGGAAGTGGTTGTTTGAGATGGGGATGAAGATGAGAGGGCAGATCAGGAGAAGAGCAAGAAGAGGACTTGATCCTCTCAGGCATCAGGGTAATACTAGAAGTCAGGGCTGCGTTTGGAATATGAAAGCAATGGCTGTGAAAGAAAGGAGTAGAGAGCATAAAACAAAAGGTGTAGAAGACTGTACCTCACGTGTAGCATGCGGTATTTACCAAGTCTGTAAAAGAACTGCAACACTGACAGTGCCAGACTGATAATGACCAACACTTCCAACCTGTGTACCTGGCCCAGCATTTCCTCTCTTATTAGGTAACCTATAGAAGTGCTGAGTACTTAACACCTCTGAAAACCAGTGCTAGAAATAGCAGCTAATGAGAGTAACACTGTTACTCTCAGTGACTTTTTCTTGCATTTGGGTCTTTTCTTGCCTTCAAAGAACCATGGACACCCCTTGTGCTTTTACAATGGTTTTTTCTTTGGAAAGAAGTTTGCTTCATTGCTGACTTACCATCCTTTAGCTGCTTTGAGACTGGCAACTGAGCTCCCATCTCTGGCACCACTGAGACTGTGAAGTCTCCACTGCAACTCAGCCTTTTGCTCAGGGACTACAAGGTCACTTGGGGAATGTGGGATGTTTCATTCCAAACGGATTTCCAACACAGACATGATGTCAGGATAAGCAGGGCCATGCTATTGAACAGCTCTGTTCATGCATGATAGCAGATTCTGCAATTATATAGCGCACAACCCTGGCTAACGATACCTCTCCCTCAAACAAAGTTATCTTCTCCTAATCTGCTTAGCTAGAAAGCGGCACATGCTTCCTGTTCTTCTGCTGAACACACAAACCTTTCGCTCATGGATGAAGCCGAACACTTGATACATTCAGGCTCCCCACAAGAAGCTGGGAGCTTCACCCAATGCTCTTTTTTGGTAGACGCCACCCAACTTAGTGGACACCTGCTTCCTACTAACACGTGTCTTTGTCCATCCTGGAGCCAAAGCAGGCTATCAGTCTGAAACTAGGACTTGAGTCTCCCAGATCGCATCTTTTTTCTGCCACCTACTGGTCTCAGAAATAATTTAAACGCAGTTAGCCCTGGGCAAACCTTTAGGCAGGACTTGCCACGCCCCTGCAAGACTGGTAAATGTCACTGTCCACATATTAAGGGCAGAGCTCTGAGATTTTTCTAGGACTCTCTTCAAAGCCCTGTGGGTACTGAGGAATTACTGGGGAATATATTTTGCTAGGGAAATGCAAACAAACCGCAAAGAAAAGAGAGGAAGATACAAAGCATCAAGAAGGAGGGAAATTAGGGAAGTATGTAAGTAACAGGAAGGTTTAGACAAGAGCACAGGAGAAGAGGTGAAGGCAGGGTTGGACTGTGCTGAGCCTCAAGTGGAGGATAAATACTTATGGGAAACGTGTTTGTAATTTAAGGGATGGAACAAAACTAGACAATTAATAAAGATAAGCAGGGCAAAAGTCTTTCACTATTTATTTAACTGAAATGCAGCTCTTTCTGAAAATTACTGTTATAAGAGAACTTGGGGAATTACAGGCCAGTCAGCCTAGCCATGATACCTAGAGAGATACTGGAACCAGTTATGAAACAATCAATTTATAAGTAGCTAAAAGACAATAAGGTGATAAGAAACAACCAGCAGGGAATTTTGAAGAACAAATCCTGTCAAACCAGGCTTATTTCCTTCTTTGACTAACAAGCCTGGTAGATGAGGAGAAAATGGTAGATATCAAATACCTTGACTTTAGTGAGCATTTAGAAAATATCTAGGTTGCAGGCTCCCAGGGCAGCAGGCAAGTCTCCACAGAGGCTACACAGGTTGAAGTACCATAATCAAGGGTAATTATCACGGCTTCACTTTTCCAGCTGGGAGGATCATGGTCCTGAAGTTCTGCCTCCAGGGCTGCTCTGTATTTCCTTGCATGTTTTGGACAAGAGGCTAGAGGACAAAACGGAAAGGATGACAGCTGGGCTGGGGGCAGCAGCAGTCCCTCCTGAAGCCAGGAGGGCTGGGGCGATCAGAATGTGAGAGAAATGTGAGATGCTGGAGAGCTGGGCTGCCCTCTGCAGAGGTGACTGCACCAGGATACAATTCAGGAAAGGTGACTGCACAGACACCAAATGTGCTGGTCCAAACTAGATCATAACTATTTTGGCAGCAGCGCAGTGAAAAAAAAGAGCTGGGGTGGGACCAAATCTGGGTCTGTTAAGTGAGATTCCAGCAGAAAAAGACAAAACTCATTCTGAGATGCTTCAAGGGGAGTTTTGTGCATAAGGCAAAGGAAGCAATTATTTTGTGCATTTACTCAATACTGCTGAGCTCTC